TGGTTATTCATCTGAAGATGGTTTGGAGGACACTTGCTTGAGTGCAGACTTCAAGCTATGCACCCTAGAGATACCCAGTTACAAGGCACACTGGGGTTCAGAACACAAATGTTATCACAAATGTCCTAATGCCATGAGGCACATACCTCATTGTGGGTTTGCTTCTGTAGTTTATTCCTATTTGTTGCTATGCTGTCCTCCTCCTTCCAAGCTAGACACACAGTGTAGAGTCCAGGAAATTACTCTTCCCAACATGCACATGTACTAGCTGAACTGCTATGGAACAAAACCACCTTTTAACAGTTTCATCAGTTAAGAACAATGCAAGACTATTGGCTCAGAGAATTTCTATACTTGTACTCTTTGTACTTTTCCAAATCCTGTGGGTTCTTTTCCCCACAACTAGAAACTAAAACCAGATCCTTTTAATATTTCAGGTAAACAGTACTACTGAGAATGGGATTGGTACCTGAAGTGCAGAAAAATAAAACTAGCCAGAGGCCATGGGAAACGCAGCAATGACATTTATTGGAATTTCTCCAGGCATTACATGAAAAATTTTGTCAATGAAACAGAGGATAAAGCACATTCAGTGCATCTTTAAAAAAAAGATGCATCTGAATAACCTTGATTCTTTGTAATAAATGCTACTGCAGTTCCTGGGATTGGTTTTGTATGTACACATCAGCTAAAACTTACTCTGAACAAAACTGCAAAGAACTGCCTTTTCACTTGGCATTTTCCCACCTAGTACAATACAATATTCTTGAAATATCTAGACAGATTCCACATAATTTTATACACAGTGTTAAGACCTTTCACCCCAAATGTAAAAAGAAAGACTGTTGAGTAAATCATTATATTAAAATCAAATAAAACATCATGGAAGTAAAAAAACAACAACAAAATACCCAGGAGAGCACAAGCCCCTCAGTTCCGCAGCAGCGTGCAGCAAATCAGTATTGTTGTTCCTCACGTTTATGTTAACATAAAGCATAATACTTAGAAAGCAGTGATGTTCTGTCCTTGCTTTCTAATTGAGACAATCTTATGCAAAAAGACACTGCTGGATTTGGCACTTTGCTTAATTGTTTTTCTTAGTAAAAATAATGTGTTTCCTGAAATACAGTATAAATGGTAAGAGATAACATGACCCACTTTAACACTCAATTAACAGTTCAGACATGCACTCCAAAATACTTGTCTTTTACACATTTGTCTAAGCCATCTCAAAAATTCCACTCAAAAACATCTTCAAATCTATATGCATCTTTTTTTACTTTTATAAACATATTTTCAACCTTGAAATGATCAGAGCTTACCTCACCTTCTGCCCAGAACACACAAACTCATGGCTTCTCTTTTAAAAAGACCACAAAGCACTATCAAAACAGGAATAGCCTGGAAAGTGTTATTAAAGCTGTGCCTGTCCTTCAGAATCCCCTTTGAAATGTATATCCACTGTATATGTGAAAACTGAAAGGTACACAGTATTTGAAACTTGCTTGGTCCTCTCTTGTGCACTTACACTCAACTTCCTGCAACCTACTTCAATTTTCTTCTCAAACAAAATTTAAGACCAGCTTTCTGCCTCCCACTACAACAAGGCAAGGCTTCTTGCAGTATTTCTTTGGTTAAATGACAACACCTTACACGTCTAACTCTTAGGACAAGTCTCTGGTGGAAAATTCACATCAGAATAAACACCATCCCCCAGTGGTGCTTCCTTCCTCCTGTCATCACGATCAGCCCCAGGAGGGGTGGAAGCAAACAGGCCAGGAAGGAAGCAGCAGTCACCATCAGCTCTTGCCTTTGCAAGCTCTGTGAGTGCATGTAGATACCTATTTCTTAGCTCTGAGTTACGGAGGCGGAGCAATGATGCAATGCTTTTTGTTTCCAGTTCCAACATGCATGTGGAATTACACTGCTGACTGGGACAGTCCAGGCAGTGGATGGCACTAGAGCTCTTTCTGTATGAACAAGTCATGGTACTTGTTCTGCTTATCGGTCTGTGCTTACAATGTCAGCAGAATAAAAGAGAGGCACGCATGAGTTCACAAAGATTTTCCACAGAAGATGTGAAACATGCTGCTCTTTGGAGGGAAAATTACATTCTCCTTTTTATTCTTCAAGTATTATTCAACATATTCAATATACATATATATAAGGACACATTATCCTCATTTCACTACAAGACAAGCACATCCAGAGTGAATTTGTAGATCGCCATCATCTTGGCTTTGATTACTGAAACTTCTCTTTTCCTTTAGGTCAACTGTAAATATACATCTACTCATCATAATTACATGTGAGAATCATTGAATTCCCCCTCGTGATTTATTTACATAATCATAAAAAATTAATAGCCTGAATTTGCATACTGACATTTGAAGGCCCATCTGTAGCTATGAGTGTCCCAGCACTAGTTTTGGATAATACCATTGCCTATTGCTAAGTAGCTATTGAAAGCAGCATACTCATCTTTTCATTCCCTTTTTTAGAACAAATGCTGCCTAGAAAACCCTGGTTTATGGCTTACTCCTTATTTTATTATTTGGATTGTAGTTTATTTCCTTCAGGAGCAGTTCACAGTCAGACAAAGCTTCTGCTGGCAAATACTTCACTATCTGCTCAAGAGTCTTTTGGTATGCTATCTTCTCCTGTTCCAGGGACTGAATTAGAGTCTTCATTTTGTTCTCTCGAGTCAAAATAGTCTCCAGGTTGGCTTCCAGACTCTGAATTTTAGCATGAGCAACCTGTAAACAATAACATTATCTTGATAAATGGACATATTCTGAATAACATTTTTTATATATATTATGATATGGTTATCTGTTAAGGAAAGAATTACATACCTGTTTCAAAAAGACATCTGTGTAGGCAGACAATACAAGGAATGCCTACAGAAAATCTCCTTACAGTGACCAGATTTCTGAAAGCTTTACAGAGGGAAGGAGACATGCAAGTTGCAGCAATCAAGAGGCAGTTGACAGTAAAAAGGAACAGGAGATGCAAAGAGAAAAAGCTGCTGAAGTAGCACTGGTAGAGATGAGCTATCTGTCAGTGATGGAGCAAAGGAAATACTATGCAATAAAGTAAATTAGCAGGATGGAGAGGTTAGAGGGAAACCTCAACATTTAGAAGTAGACAATGTTCCCTATTCTCCAATAAAACACCAACAGCTTCCTCTGACTAGTCAACAGAAACCCTGAACCTCAGCAGTAGCAAAAGCCTGTGAGAAGTGGGGGAATTCTGACTGTTCCTAGGAAAGGGCCCAAGCAGAGGAATAAATAAGCTATATGAACAAAAAGATGAGGAGATTAAGGAACTGAGAAAGACGCATTAAGACAATGTTCCCTATTCTCCAATAAAACACCAACAGCTTCCTCTGACTAGTCAACAGAAACCCTGAACCTCAGCAGTAGCAAAAGCCTGTGAGAAGTGGGGGAATTCTGACTGTTCCTAGGAAAGGGCCCAAGCAGAGGAATAAATAAGCTATATGAACAAAAAGATGAGGAGATTAAGGAACTGAGAAAGACGCATTACAGTATGGCCCTCTGAAAGAACAGAAGAGCTTCGACAGAGCCTTTCAAATCAGTTACTCATAATTATTATATGCCTTTGGTGCATTTTCAGAACAGAGGTAAAAGCCCAGGCTGCAGTGAATAAATAAATAAAGATAATAACAGTAAAAAGCACAAATGATTCCCATTTTCAATGTCAAAAGAACACAGCACAGAACCCTCAGCCCATAAACACAAAAATAAATGAGGACATGATCTTTCGGTCTTTCCTTTTTTCCCTCCTTCTATCTTCAGGTTTCAGGAGCTGAAAGTGCTCTCTGAGCTCTTCCCAATGCTTGTTCAAATTAACAAATTTAACAAGAAATAGCCTAGTGATGAAAAAATAAGCAGTCTTTCAAGAAAATGAGAGACAATACATATTGAAACTTGAAACAAGTCTTGGCCAGGCTATGGGACAAAGGGTGAATAGTGAAGGAGGAAGGACGTTTTTAAAGCATAACTTTATTGGGCAAAGCCTGGCGATCATTCAGATGTAGTCAAGCCTGCTAGGAGAGATCACCTTCCAAAAGTAGGACTATGAGTTTCAGCAGAAGGAAACAAAATGATACTGCCTACAAGGGCCTAGAGAAAGCACATCTACTGCACTATGGATTATTTCTTGAAACTTTCCAACAGGGAAGCAGAGATGAAGGAACAAAGAACTTATTTTTCAGTAAGACACATAAATTTTGCCAACAGATTTTACAGGAGATAAGGGTGTTTGGGGAAAAAAAGAAGGAAAAGTCCAAGGAATGACAAAAGAGTTAAAAATATGCCTAACAGATGTAAATCACTGTACTTGTGAGAACTGCTCAGCTGCACAAAGTCTTCCAATTAGGAGACTTCTCACATACATTTAAAAAAAAATACTTTCTCCTCTATTGAATCACAAAAATGACCTCTCCATGAGTTTGTAGTCCTAAGTAATTTACCTGTAGCTTCTCCAACAAATCCATGTTTTGTCTCTTCAGATGATTGTTTGCCCTCTCCAGCTTCTCCAGGGGCTCACCTTCATCACACGGACTCACATTTTCCTGTAGTTCATCCTGAAGAACGTGGTACTCTACTTCATAGGCATGGAGCTGCTTTGAAATATCCATCTCAAACACCTGCCATGAGAGAAAAAACAATCTTACCTAAAATAGGGAGCAATTATTTCACATGAATGTTTGACTAAGAGTCAACTCTGCTTGATTAACATAATGCTTTTTCTGTTCTCTTCAAGAAAGTATTTTAAGGGGAAGTCTACAGTAAGAGCCTTTTAACATCTAGAGTTCTTATTGTAGCCAAAGTAAGTCATAGACTTTAGAATAAACTGGATCATGCCTTTTACACTTATTAAATACCACCTCTTACCACAAGATGTATCTAGAGAAAATTCTTACTTAATCCAAGAATTTTATAATATGACCGAGTCTTATTGACTCTTGCTCAGGAATATTAAGAAGTTCAAGAACAAATGTTTAAATTCAAGTCTCATCAACTTGTGATGGGAGCACAATCACACAATGAGGATCTCTTGACTCCATGTGCTCACTTATAGACTTCTATAAAAACATTCTTCATGGTTACACTTTCCCTGTGCTCTATCTCTGCATGAAGACACACCGTTTTCTTCTTGGGATATTTTGTTGACAAAGCATTTTGAAGACTATGGAACTGAGCCTCTAACAGTGATGGGACCACATTACCCTTATCTGTTTACAATCTAGTCACAGCCTCTCAGCTTCCAAAAATTACCGAATATTTTATACCAGGAATGGAAGGATGTCTACAGTGACATTAATTCTGTTACTTGCTCCAGAGATCACAAACATTCCACCAACAGAAGACACACACAGATCCCATAAAAACCAAATTCTGCATTATTTTCACTGTTCTTCAGGTAGTTCAAATGACGTAAACCTTTAAATTACATATAGTGTTCAAGGTGGGTTAAGTGCCATTATCCTCTATGTACCTACCTGCTCAATTCTTCATCTCTGTTACAGATCTGCATAATGTCTACATTTTTCTTTCATCATCCACTGTAAGAGGATGGTCCCAGGAACTACAACACTCAAGCAACTAAACATCTTCCCCTGCAGCCACCTTAGGTAGAAGCTACAGGATATAGGCATGCTACACAGGAATGCAGATCAGGAAGGTTGCTCAGCATGAGACCACACCACAGGCAAGGAGGCAACCTTACTCTCAGAGCTGAGCTGACCTGTGTATAACCACATTCACCTCTGCTCAGGCAGCATAACCCATTTTTTACTCAATCAGACCTGGCTTTAAACAAAGCCACTTCGACCATACTCACCACAGCATGATTGCTCTGCAGCCTATGCAGACCACAGAACAGTAATTTAATTTCTAATCCAAACAAAAATACCAAAGTACCCTCTCTATCATTGCCAGAATCAGTGAGTTGTGAGGACACATACTGAAGTCCCTGACACAGGTTTAGCATGGCAAGCTTAGTCAATCCAATGAGGAAATGAAGCTTTACACACCTTCTGAAAATAAATTCCTGACTAACAGCATCTGAAACATTCCAGGGTTGAAAAGCCATAGGAATGCAACAGTGCCAACCTGCATATGGACATGGCTGTCCAGAGCTCTTATCTCCAAACTACCATCTGATGGGGGAAAACTGCTCACAGGTTCAGAGTTAAGGTACTAGACTGAGTCTCATTCTCAATCTGCAGCTTCAGTGCAGAGGAAGATGATATAGAGAGAGGATCCAGCCACTGACAGTATTTCTCAAGAAGCTTTTCATAGATCAGCATCAGTAATGCATTGGTTTCTTCCTGGTCTAGCCCTTTGCCACAAAGTTGCAATGATACTGATGAAATAACATGACTCCAGTCCTCCTTGTCCATACTCAAGAAAGGCAGGGATCAGTCCTGGGGAGCTTTTACCTCTGGCACCTGCCAAATCTGATCCCTCCAGGGATAGGGTTGAGGTGGGAAGGGCAAGTTGCACAGGGGCACCCTAAAAGGGATCCACAGGAAGATAGAAGTGACCTCTATAGTAGAACAACAGAAGTTTGCTTATCTTGACTTTAATTCAGATCATGAAAACAGTGCCTCACCAGCCTCCTAAGTTGTATGATTTTAAGTTGGAGGTGTCAGAAAAGTTCCAATGGGGGTACCTGGCCCTGTGCTGCCTGAAGTTCAAATGATCAGGAGGAAAAGTTTCTGTGAGGCTGCTGCTTCTCACCATGGCAAGTTGTGCCTCCCATCACAAACTGTTAGACTGCTCACCCACTAACAGCAAACAACAGCTGGGTTTAGGTTTGGAAAATAGGCCACTTCTACCCTCCTGATGATGAGGGGAAATTTATAAGCAAAGTCATGTTTTCTCAGTAGCTGCGACACAAAAGAACCTTTGTATTAAACCTTGAGGTAGCAACTAAAGTCCTGCTAAAACTGCAGTTAAAAACCCATTGAAATTGGATCACCTCCTATTTGTATACAAATTACCAAGATGACAACTCCTTTGCATTTCAAATCAAAAGGAACATACTGAGAAGACTTTTACATATAGCTTAGGCATCAAAATGGAGGGGGAAAAGTAAAGAGAAAAACATCCTTACCTGAGTAATAATTTTTTCCATTTGAGGCTGAGTCATATCTGGAATAGTGGTTTTAAGAAAATCAACAATGTTCTCAAAACTCTCACAGCCCATTATCGATGTTTCTTGACTGCTAAGTAGGCTCAGTGCTACTTTAAATATGACTTCTGTTCCTTGAAGAAAAATAATGTCTAAAAAAGAAAATCATTAAAATATCTTAAAAATGGGAGCTAGAGTCATTGGATAAATACATGTATTTTCTGGGATTGTTTTTTTTGTAATCAGTCACACTGCAGATGTATTCAGTTCAGAAGTGCCATCTGTCTTATTTCATCATGAGGTTAAAGCATATAAAAGAATTTTCTTTCATCTTACAGATGTGAGAGAGCATTAAAGAAAATATCACATGCCTGTTAGATCTGTGACATTTATCTGCAATAAGCATTTAATCACTGTCTGCTACAGACTGTTAACGAACTGCTAACTGGGTTTAAGTGCATCTGTGACAGAACAGCAATTGGGAAGCAGATCCCAACACAACATACTGATGTTTTACCACTTTCTACAGGCAGAAGTCCTTAAAAATGATCATGTAGATTCCATAACCAATCAATACTATTTTCAAAATTCATAGTAGTGATCTCATTGGCTATAATATAAGCCCCAAACCCTTACTCTGAGGTATAATTATGTGCATGTGAGGGGAAAATCTTGGCTCTGATGGTCAGTAGACACACAGTGTAGAGAAATGGGAATCCTGATGACAGTAACAAAACTCTGCCTTAGTAGCAGTGCTGGACTTGCAGTTACTGAGATGAACACAGCACATAAGCAGTTCAAATAAACCTCCTGAGCTGTTGGCTCCATCATTTTGTTTGGGGCTACACAACTGAACAAACTCAACTTCTGATCCTGATACTGAGAGGTCATCCCTGGCCTAATCCAGTACCACAGGGTAGCATGAGGAACCTGGTGAGGCAGCCATCTCTCTCAAACACAGTTCCTACAAGTCTCCCTTCTCACGTTTATGCTGCACACTCAAACAGCATAAACAGAAGTATGTAATTTGTGAAGGGTAGACATTAGCTGCTTGCTCTGGGGATATAACAATGGCCCATAAGACACTGAAAAAGTAGGAACCCAAAGCATTAGGAAGTCAAACCACATAGTAAGTGTTGAATTTTAAAATAGGCACATGCCTTGCTCAGGTCATTTACAGAGAAATGAACACTGACTCTCCTCTCCTCCCTTCCTCCCTCTTCACCTTTAACAAATTCATTAAAAAAGAAAAGAAAAACCAAAACCAACTCAAAAAAGAAAGAATCACAAAATGCTTGAGTGTCCTGGAATTCAATAATCCCACTGGGAAAGAGATATTCATGTGCTTGGTACAGCATTGAAAAAGAGATATACCAATCATTTGTTCATCCAAACAGAAGCCGGAAAAGGTTTGCTGTAAATGCAAAAAAACTCCATGATGGAGAAATTACTAGGTAAAAAATAAAAAATAAGAAAGTAAACCCCAAACCAACCAAACCAACCTCTCTTCCCCTATCAAACCACCACCCCAAACAAACTGAGAACTCAATATACTCCAGAATAAAACATGAGACAAAGTCAGGTTGAATTTCTTTAAAAAAAACAGAAAGTGCCATATAAAAACAAAAAAAATCAAAGGGAAAAAATCTGATTTAAGAGTAGTACATGACATACATGCCTAGATTCTTGGTGCTTATCTGAGCACAGTGAATTTTACATTAATTAATAAATGTTTAGAAAAAAGCTGCATTAGTAGAGATTTGATTAAGCTGGCAGTTCTTATTGAGGAGGAAAGAAGACAAAACAAGTTACTTGACATACTGATATGGTAAACACTGCAAGGCACACTCAACATTTAAGCTTCTGTACTAGATGTTACCTGAATTGGAACATATAATGAAGAAAAATGTCTATGTGCAATAAGAGGCATACTAAGACTTGGAGACTGTTCAATACATACATGAACACCTGAAACAGCCTTTAAGTTCAAATTTGCTGGATATTTTTTTAGAAACTACTTTAGAATCAGAACTCAGAATCACTTTCTCAAAAACCAATGCATTCTCTTTTTTCAATTTGCAAGTTCAACAAGATGAACTTTTCTATAGATATAAACTGAATAAATTTGAATGAAATACATTTGCAACAATGAATTTTCTGATGTTTACACTTTAGAAAACTCCTGGCTAATAAGAGAAGACATAATTAATTGTTCAGATCTGATGTTTCAAAGAATTACCTTTAGGTTTTCCTAGTTACAAAGGAGCTGGCATCCCACCATGAAAAGCATGGCTACTTGCCACCCACAACAGTCACCCCAAATATCCCCAGTATGTAGAAAACTGCTTCCTGAGAGTTTCAAAACACAACGGACAACATTGTTCTGTTTATTACTGCAGTAGAATAAACTTTCTTACCAAATACTCTGGCTACAAATCCTAATGGAAACTGAGATGCAAACAGTGTCAGAAACCACGGTGCAGCATAAAGACTGGGACTGATTTCATTTTCTTCAAGATGATTATACAGGTCTCTGTGATAATCATGGAGAAGCCTTGAGAGCTGATACATCTGAATCTACAGTGCATGAGAGGATTGAGGGAGAAGGAAGTAAAGAAAGAAAAGTTCAGATTTACTCAAGTTTTCCAAGTCATTCACATTTCACTCAAGGGAAATTAATTCCAGTACAGATGGCACTGTAAAATTATGCTTAATTGCTGCCTGGGGCCTCGGGTGACATCTACTCACATATAAACAACCCACCACTAGTGAATTAAAACCAACACAGCAGTCAACAACAAAGAACATTTTGAACCTGATTATTAATGAAGCATCATTTCAGATTCACAGGCTTAAGGTAAGAAGAGAATATATTGCTCTAACTTTGTCAACAAAACTTTCAGTCCTGCAGCAATGGAAGTAGAGGTACCTCTTCCAAGATGTCAACTTCTCATTTACAGACCTGAACTATTTCAGGCTAAATTCACACATTTCAACTTTAATTCTTTGAATCTTAGCCACATACATATTTCCCAGCACATCTCTCAGTGGTCCTGAGCAATTTAAGATGTTGATGCAAAAAGTGCTGCTATACCACTTGTAAAAGATTGCAAGGCAAAATGGTTAAAAGCTGCCATTCATTGCTAAAAATATCACTCTGTGGTAAATTCTTTGCTTGCAGTTTTGATAGTTTATATGACACATTAAGTCATTCACAGCACAGAGTGATGCTTTGCTCAGAAAGTAGAACATGAGAAGCAGACATATATTGATTAGCTGTCAGGTCCAATTTTGTTGGCAAGAAGGTGAATCCTTAAGGTTGCTTAAGGTGAATTTGTTCCTCAGGAAGAAAATGACTCATGAGATCTAGCTACTTTCCTACTTTCAGAGTTCACGATTCTTGTCTACCAAAAGCTGACTGCACTTGAAACTTTCAGTTTCACAAGCAGAGAGATGACTTCTCATTCAGGCAAATCAGCTAAATTGTGTATGCATTTGAGTCCTTGCTTTAAGATACCATTAAGCACAGTTTGGACAGTGTCAATACAAAACCTATTGGCATATGAAGTTAGAATTGCATAGAATTGGCAGTAAACCAATTGGATTAATTCATTATGAACTAAGGATCTAGATTACTACCTTTTCCAGACAACGATTTAAAAAAATCTAAGTCACGTAAGTTTTCATTGTCCTAAAGAAACATCCAACATTTTTCTTCTACAGGAGAGAAGCTAATTCTGCCTATAAGCTTACTTGTGTGTCAGTACTGTAGGTGCAAAATAATTTTCAAATGCTCTATGCCTGTTAGAAATCAAACCAAATATAGTAACAGCTTTTAAGTCCTCCTGTCTAGTTTGTCTTGAGCAGTCAAGACTTCACTTTTGTCTATTACAGAACTGCCTAGGAGCAAACTGTGTGGAAAGAGAGGTCATATAATTTTAAGGGCAAACAGTATTATAAGTGGTAAACTTCCTCAAATTTAAAAGTGTCCTTATTAAGAGCTCCTGACAATGAAAGTCATACTCATTTAAACCAAAAGGTGAAATCCTGGACATATGAATGCTCTCAAATGCTGAAAATCTACAACTGCAGCGTAACACACAAGCAGCAAAAGAGAATCTTACAGGGGAGGCCCCCAAATATGTATTTATTACACTTTGTCCCCCACTGGTTCAAAACACATTGGGGGGGGACAGAATGGGACAGGGAAGTGGTAGAATGATGTTCTTTATGGCTGTTCATCTCTAATTCATCAACAACAAACTTGTTACAGCATACTTACATCCACACAAAGACACTCCTCTAACATTTGTAGAACAAGCACAATTTCTTTAACTACAATCTCTTCCATTGCTCTGGACATTTGTCAAATAAGTGCCTAAAGTGACTGATCATGAAAAGTGTGCTGAAACTCTCCCTTAAGTTTCTATACAGTT